CTTCGGACGAGCTTGACAACACCTCCTTCTCGGTCACAATGTTTACTTGAAATTTGAAACCATGGTTAGTTACCTACCAGCTTTCATGTCAACAATGAATATTCCAAGATATGCATCTGCGACCACGAACTCCTTTTTATTCAAGCGACGGATGCCAAGTGGACGTCCGCAGAGCGGCTCGGTCTCGAACGAACCTGTGAGGCGAGAAAGGTAAGTAAAGGTAATAATTACAAAAGAGCCAAATTAAAGAAAAATCGAATACTATGAAAACAGAGCGACCAGTCCACATATTCCTACAACAAATGTGAGATACCAAAGTAGGCGATCAGGGCAATTACACCTGTTGATAAAAATATTTTTACGCATTTTCCAGGCCTCATAGATAAATGATATTCTCGAAGGTTTCTGTTGACAAGCAAACAACCATACAATTGTAAATCAAGCCTGGTGCTCACTGCTCTATTTAAAAATACCTACTGAAGGTCAGTGCACTCTCCCTCTAACCTCCTATACCCTCGCTGGCCTTATTCAAATCAGCAGACATTATTTTATGGTCAGAGGGCGTAGCTGAGCACAGAACGGGCCTAGCTTCGCCTCATCGACCACTCTACCGTCTACTATGACAGCTACGCCAACAAGCTGTAGTTGTAGTTGTAAGTTCACTAGGAGTATTCGTGGACCGGCACGGATTCTCTGAAACAGCGGAACCCTCCATCACTGTTTCACTCACCATTCCCACATGAGCGGTGCACCGCGCTCACGGCTTTGCGAAATTGACACACGCTACGCGAGAGGGTCAGAAGGATCACGTCCATTTCACTGGATGAATCCACATCGGCAAGATGGGGAAGTGCAGTCCAGCGACGGGGAGGGGGACATTTTGCGCATTAGATGCTTCACTTGTTCCAATTTACAAAGTTTCTCACACCGAGCGGGAAGCCCTGTGAACCCTTGCAATGAAGCGGTAGAACAGCTCGATCGAACTACCATGGTGAAAACCTGTCAATAGTAACGCTCATGAAATGCTCTTCATATGCGACTCGACACGTCGATGAGGAAGTAGCAAAGTGCAAAATTGAGCCCATGTCGCCGAACTTGGCCGCCGCAGTGTGTGTACGTGTCTTCAAAAAGACCGAGTGCTACTTAAAGTGGCAGTTCACTCTTCGCTTGGGATAGGAGTGATAGGCAGTAAGGTCACGCATACTTCGAGTGCTTGGCTGAAAAATAGTAGCCGGGAAATTCCATAGCTGGATATGACGAGAGGAAGCTTATGGTAAAACGACCAGAAACCTGGGCCAAAGAACCTTGACATGGGCACTGTCAGCATTTTTGGCACGAGTTTTCTCGTTGCCATCGCACGACAGTTGTTTTATAGCATACGACTTGCACGTGCCGTGTGCTCTCTATTCCTGCAAGCAAAGCTTCGTATCAATTGCAATTCATAAAGGAAGCGATAAGTGTACTAGCGTCGATGTGAGTCTGCGACCATTTGTGGGCGGGCTGTTGCGCTGGGCGTCTGGGTCGGTATGTTGCATCTTGGTTAGGCAACGTTCAGACTTCGCGACGGCAGCGCTTCGGTCGCGCGTCGACGCGATCGATGCAGTCGAAAGCATGCGCATCGATCGTCGAATCGCGCGACCGAAGCGCTGCCGTCGCGAAGTCTGAACGCTGCTTCAGGTGCTATAAGGTACTCTTGGTTAGAGAGGACGTCACGTAGCGCCTTTTTACCAAGAGCTTCCGCATCACATGATCTCAGTAGCTAAGTGTGGCGAGCAGACGTGTAGGTAAGGATGGCTGAAAATTTCCGCTGACACCGATCTGGCGCCAAATGGCGTTGCTAGGAGAAGTACATTAATAACACCCATGGGCAAACTTTCAGAAAGGGAAAAATTGCTACAAATTTGGAATACCGGCTGTTTCAAGGTCGTAAATGCTGAAAAATTGACCAAAGACGTAAAGCAAACCGCATTTTCGATGTTTCGTAAATCGTACTTCTTTGACAATTTTACTACCATTGATGTGG